CTAAAAACTTAATTAATATTATTCAATAACTACTATTAAAAGCATTCAAGGAAATTAGGGCCCCAAGATCAAGTCCAAACCCAAACAAGAGGATCTTCTTTATTGAATACCCCTTAATTCAAATTTCTACTTAACTTGAAAGGCCCAAGCCTATATAATAAAAGTAAACCAATAACTCAAAATATGGATTCATGCCTTTAGTACATTGGGCTTCGAAAATTAGTCCAAGAGTGAGGAAAATTCTGTCAGCTTTTATTAGAAGCTGTCCAGTCGTGGGCTTCTATACAGGCCCAAATCGAAGGCAAGCTAGGGACCCAATATTTAATCCCAGATCAGTCCACTACTTTGCCCACGCGAACTAGTTCAAAAGGCCAGTAATATTTAGCTTCTTATTATGTAACCAGGCCCAAATCTCATTTACACAAAAGGCTGATAATACCTGGGCCTCCTATTAAGCAAACAAGCCTAAATTTCGTTTACACAAGAGGGTGGGCTGCTTTGGCCCATAATGAGCCCAAAATCTGATACTGGTTTTACTAGATCTGATAATGAACACAACAGAATCTAATTTTAATCACAACTGGACTTAACAACTCTTAATTGTTTAAAATTCAAAACTCATATATGTTTCAACTTGTTTGTATTCCAATGAACTATTCTGGAAATCTGATACCCTTTAATGTCAATCAATATCCCCGTAAACAACTTAATCATGGACCAAACATTAGAAGTAACTACTACCATTTGTTTCTGATTTCTAATAAACAAACCTGATAAGCAAATTAAATCAATCAGTTTACTTTCAGATTCGAATCTACGTTAATATATTCTAACAGGACTACAGCTAACATGATTAAACCAAATCATATTCTAAGCTTGAGTTTCAAACATGATAATAAGACTAAAACTAATTAAATCTGACATTGTTCAACAGGACAAACTGTATAGTTCTATGAAAATTCAGCAGTCCAATACAGTCCAAGTAGTCCTATTAATACAAATGAAGCAATTGTCCAAATAATACTATTAAGCTAAGTATTTAAACTGAATAACAACCGCAGAAAAATCATGTGAAAATAAACAATTCTTCATCATTTAACTTCAAATGTTGTTCCAGCCATTACACATTACTTGAGACCAAAATATACCTGGAATTTCAATCAAAATAAGAAGAAGGAGAGGTCAGCAGCAGCAAACAATAATCAGCAGTTAAAACCAGCCGCAACAGGATCAATTTTAAACCCAAAATAGTATCACAGCAGCCCAGGAGTGAATTGTAGAGGAACAGCACCAATTAACAACCAAAAACAGGTTTGAATGAACCAAAATAGACTCGAAGTCAACCCAAGAACTTCTGAAACTTCAACTACCAAGACACAAGGAATATTCAAGCCATTTTCAACCTTATATCAGCTGGAAATTTTATTTAACAGCTGGAACTCAAAATTATCCTAAGAAACTTCAATGGAATAATATTTTTGGAGTTCTGGTTGCATGAAGTTTCAGAACTTTGCAGCATTTCTAAGACTAATTTTTTTTTGATTTTTTGAATATTTGATCTCACTAGGCTTCTCAATTTTTTTTGAATTTTTGAAATTTTCCAGATCTGAAACTTTTCAACACTTCTTTCTCAGATTTTTCCCTCTCAAAACTTTTTAGATTTGTAAACCACTAAAACTTGTATTGCAAGGAAGGGGTACTGCCCTTTAATAGACCAAAACTAGGGCAACTCTCAGATTTTCCTTTTACATTTTAGTCCCTCATTTATTTTCAGTTTTTAACTACTTAGTCCCTCAATTCATGCCTTGTTGGTCAAGTTATACTACCCAATTCCTGAGTTTCAAATTAGAACCCCCATCTAGAAGGTTCTAGGGGGTTCCAATTCAGTTACTGCACTGTTCTCTAATTAAAATACCTATACTACCCCTGAATTAATCCTAAAATTACTAACATATGACAAACTAACCCTAGCCCTTTTGAACTTGGTCAAAAATGACCATAGTTAATCAATCAAAGGCTGGGAATTACTCAGCTATATCCAAACAGGATTTTAATTAACATAAAAACCCAAAATGAACTAACAATCTAAGTAACAAAAATTAGACTAAAAATCATAATACGGGCAAACAAAAATCAGAGAGCAGGCAGGAATACTAATTAACCAAACTAAACTAAATCAACAAGAAATAAAATCCTAGAACAAACAGGGAACAGGACAAAATTAATTCTAATTAAAATTCTCTAAATTGCATACTGGAGAAGAAAAATCGATAGGAACTAGACAAAAGCTAAAAAATAAAGCAAAAAATAGTAAAATAAAACTACAAGATGAAGATACTTACACGAATTTAAAATTAATCTTGACTGTCTTTTGAACTTGATCCCCAAATGATGTTATTTGCCTATTCTTTACCAAAAATAAGCAAACAACATTATGAGAGGATCAAACGATCACTAGGAAACATCCAAGCAGGCCGAAATTCCTTGAGACCCCAAATTTGAACCCTAGATCTAGGATTCGAACAATTCTGGCTAGGTTTGAAGGAAATTGGTTTGGGATTTGGGAAGAAGAAGGTGAGGAGGGTCTGGGGTATAATTTTGGGAAGGTTTGGGAGGCGGCACTAGGGTTTGGATTATTCGAGGTGTTTGAAGGGGATTTGAAAGAAAGTGAGGCTAGATTCGGGATGAGGAGGAGGAGGAGGTGCTATGGTGTATTTCTGGGGTAATTTGGAGACTCGCCGCCGGCGGAGGCGATTTCCGGCCAGCGGCTTACGGCAGGGGAAGGTGGCATTAGGGGTTTCTGATGAGAGGCCTGAGAGAGACGAGGGTAGGGGGTCTTGAGGGGGGTGGTGTTATTTGGACAGTTATATACTTAAAACACCTAGCTTCCCAGCCGTCCGATCAAGGAACCTCGACGGCTGGGATTTGAGATTAGTAAAACGGTGTCGTTTAGGTTATTAGGGGCTGGACCGGGTGGGGTGTTTTTGGGCTTGGACTGGGCGTGGGTTGAGACGGGTACAGGGGTTTATTTGGGCTGGGTTGAAACGGGTTTGGTTCAGGGGTTTGTTTGGGCTGGAATTAAAATTGGCCCAATGCTTGACTATTGACTGGCCAGCCTATTTCTCTTCCCTTTATTCTTTTTAATTAATTCTTTTATAAAAATGCAAAAGGACTAATTTTTTTTATTTTCTTCCATTTTTGTAATGTTAATTAACTAATAGAACTAAAAATATAAAATTGGGTCCTAAATGCAAATATGTTATTTTTGTATTTTTTTTATGAATTATATCAATTAAAATGCATACAAAATGCAAACAATCACAAGAATTATGTAATTAATCCTAAAAATCAAACAAATAAAGAAAAATCCTAATTTTAAGAATTCTATAGGAGTAATTTAAGCGAGACAAAAATCACGTGCTCACATTATTATTTGTACATAGTGTTCAAATAATGCAAACAACTTTCCTTTGGTTGTAATAGTTACAAAGCAACAGAATGAAAATATCAAAAAATGCTGTTGAAATACGCACACAGAGCCTCTCATTTGCTGTTAGAAGTAATTTCTGAAGGAAAATTGAGTAAAAGAAACCTAATGCTCTAAACTTACACTGTATGTTCTCATCTTAGCTGTAAGAAATAATACCGGTTTGGGGCTTTCTGTTGCTGCGGCTTGAATCAGCTATTTAATCAGAGATTATCGTTCTTTTGGGAAACACAAGTACTATACTATTATTGGTCTATTATTCATAAATTAATGATTCTACATAGGATAGCAATTTGAGCCCAAACTCATTTAACTCGTCCAACTCGCCCAAGATTGGGCTGCTCATTGACCCGGCCTATTGTTGAACTCAATCCATATTGACCCAACCAATCTCAGCTCATCTAACGTTGGGCTGATTTTTAGCCCAAATTGATCCATGAGCAACTTTGCTTAATATATGTTTAAAATAGTTTTTTTGTTTGATATTTATATATGACCAGAACAAAACAAAAAATCTTATTTGGTAATTAAACAATTCATAAGAAAACAACACATGGCCAATCAATATCGCTCATGTCAAGAAGATGAAGGCAGCAGAGATGAGGATGTTGAGATGGATGTGCGGGTACACCAGGTTAGATAGGATCAGAAATGAGCTAGGTTATTCGCGACAAGGTAGGTGTGTCTCCGATTGAGGACAAGATGCGGGAAGCGCAACTTAGGTGGTTTGGTCATGTGAGGAGGAGGAGCACATACGCCCCGGTGAGGAGGTGTGATAGGTTGACATTCGAGGGCCTACGGAGAGATAGAGGTAGGCCAAAGAAAAGGTGGGGATAGGTGTTAGGCAAGACATGGCGCAACTTCAGCTGACCGAGGACATGACCCTTGATAGGAACGTATGGAGGTCGAGGATTAGGGTGTAGAGTAGGTAGCCTAGAGTGTTCATAACAGTAGTATTGCACACAGTCTCGCTTTCTGTGGGCAGTAGGTTTTTATAACTAACCGTTGTTTTCTTTCATTGTGGATTACCTTATTACCTTGTTGTTTTTGTTTTGCTTTTATATGGCTTTTTGGTACTGTCCCTTCTTGTCTATATTTTCATTAATGTGGTGCTTATGTTTTCCTAAGTCGAGGGTCTATTGGAAACAGCCTCTCTATCCTCACAAGGTAGGGCTAAGGTCTGCGTACACACTACTCTCCACAGACCCCACGGTGTAGGATAAAAGTGGGTATGTTATTGTTGTTGTATAAGAAAAAAACACACATTAATTAAAGCTTGATAATAGTTTGGCGGGATTGGCTTATGACCCAAATTTTAGCCGTTCTTGACCCAGTCCATCTTAGCCCAAGTAACTTTTAAGCGGGTCATTGACCCGTCCATTTATTGACTCTGCCCATTTTGACCAGCCTAAAATCAGCCTAAGCTCATTTGACAGCCCTAATTCGAACCATGATATGGTTTTCGAGCGGATGTAATGTTATTGTATAATGAAAGAAAGAACTAGGCAAGATGGATTCTATGAAAATTGACACTAAAAGATATAATGCGTGTTCTGAAGTTACATCTTCAGTACAATAGCGTTCATCTAACACACTAAAAACACTTCATATCTAACATGCTGATATGATCAAGACTTTTTATTTGTGATGGTTTCAACTGGATCATCACACGTGAAAAAACACTGAACAAGAGAAAATAGCAGTTCTCTGGCTATTTGAACCCATAGACAGTGAATCCTCCGTCAACGGCTATAACCTGGCCAGTGACATAAGAAGCGCCAGGAAGACAAAGATAAGCCACGACGGATGAAACTTCCTCAACTTCTCCTGGACGCCGGAGAGGCGTTCTTGCTATTAACTCATCCAAAAATGCTTTATCCTTGAGAACCTGTGAATATAAAGCCATCAAATTAATAGTACTCTACTATTAAATTTTGACATGCACCAAACCCAACTTAGAGGAATTGTTAAATTGACAAAAGTTAAGTGTCAGTAGCAACTCCCTGCTTGGATGTGGAGTATGACTCTCTGTTAGCATCAAAGTATGTTTTACTCAGGTAGATGTGAATTCAAGATTTAGTTTTAGTGGGTTTAAGCAAGTGTGAACATATAAGTAGACACTGATTTTAATGTATGTACATATATTTACATAGTTCGAACTGAATGCAATGAGTTCCTTGAGATCTGATGTAAAATGACTTATAAAATCATACACAGAAGCAACAGGAGGAGAATATTACATCTTTCACGAGTGGTGTCTTTGTGTACCATGGCGCAACGGCATTAACCCGAATACCATCTTCTCCCCATTCACAAGCCAAATTTCGTGTAAGTTGAATCATTGCAGCTGCCATCAGTTAATAAATAGTAAGAAAGAGCTAGTCTTTTAGCACATTATTTCCCCATTAAATACAGGGTAAAAACATGCATAAGAAGAAAATTTACTCGCACCCTGTATTTATACCATATTAAGACACGTGTCTTTCCATATATAGAAGGATGATGAGTACAGTACCTTTTGTTGCTCCATAAATAGAAGTACCGGACACGTGGACAAGACCAGCAACAGAGGACGTGAAAACAATACTTCCAGCTCCAGATGATTTCAGAAGAGGATGAGCAAGTTGAGAGAGATGGAATGAAGATTCTAAATTGGTAGCCATCATATGGGAATAATCTTCGGCAGTATATTCGATAGATGGCTTCCAAATGTTTGTTCCAACATTGTTTATCTACACCAAGAACACAAGGTAATAACATGGTCGAAATTAAAAAGTTTTATACTGTCTGAAAACTAAATGTTGCTTTAGTAACCAGCATAATCTAAAGCAACGCAAAAATTTCCAGCATTAGATCTCTTAATTTCACTCCTCTCCAAGAAATTAATCCGAGCAGCTCTTTATGAATCTCTCTATGAATACAACAGTTACTACATCTCATTCTAAGCAAGTTAGGCCGATCGGCTTAATGAATTAGAGGTGGATCCAGGATTTGATAAGGTTCAAATTCAAAATTTTACCACATTTCATGTAATATACTAGGTTAGACTTATTTAGTGTGGTTCGGACGAACCACATGGATTATTCACTACATCCGCCTCTGATATGAATTTTCACTAACATGTGCAGATCCAGTGCGTTGGCACCAAATTCATCCACGACCATCTCAACGTTAGCCAATACATTGTAAAATTAATATATATAAGTTGTTTGTGTGTGTGAGTGAGGGAGGGGGGGGGGGGGGGGATCTAACCAACAACTAATAATAAGAAGATGGAATCATATATAGTTCTTACAAGAATGTTGAGTTTTCCATCGAATGCAGAGGAAACTTTATCCATGAGCTGAGCTCTTTGCTCTCTACAAGTTACATCACAAGCTGAACCTTTGACTTGAATTCCTCTGTCTGCCCAGTCTTGCATTGGTTCATTTAGTTCTGATTCTGTCTTCGAACATGTATACACTTTAGCACCAAGTCCAGCTAGCTCCTCTACAACTGCATGTCTATACAAAAGATTTACAGTAAGTTATATGCACTGACAGTATAATGAATTTTTACGACAGAAAATTAAAATCATTACCCAATTCCAGAAGTGCCGCCAGTGACAAGAGCGGCCAAACCATTAAGTGACCATCTGGAGCTTTTGGCAAACGCTGCAACCTTCGCCATTGAGTTCCTTCTTATCTTTACTCTGGTTCTTCCGTTCACGTGGTCTTATTTGAGTAAATATTTGACGTTTAAAAAGATAGTAAGTTTTTTAAAATCAGTGTTCTTAAACACGTTACATTGATAAAAAAAATTAATAGTTTCCGACAGATTTCGGTAGGAAATTTGAAAATTAAAAAAAAATTAATAGTTTCCGTCCTATTTCGGTCGGAAATGAGGTTTGACTGTCAGTCAACGCGTTGAAGTTCCCGACGACACACATTTGCAATCATTTTTTTTCCGTCCAATTAAAATCGGTCGGAATTTGGTCGGAAACTATCAATTTCCGAACGATTTCGGTCGGAAATAGCGGACGGAAATCAACTAATTTCTAGTAGTGATATTAATGTTCAATAGTGTTGTGATTACGCTTTTCAGGAGCAGAAGGCATATCGAAAATAACTTTTTTATGTTCACAAGGTGGGGATAAAGTTGCATATCCATTATGCTCTTCAAATATTATTTGTAAAATTACACTAGATTTGCTGTTGTCCTCATCGTCGTCATCGTTATTGTTGTAAATTAAAAAAAATGTATCCCGTATATTAAGACCGATAAATAATTAAGAGAGTACTTATCTTGTTTGCCACTAAACTTTCGTATAGTACTACGAGACTCTTTTATATTATCAGATCTTTGCAAACTCCAAGAAGCAGATTTTGGAGTATTGCGTTAGGTGGACCGAAACCACAGAAGGGACAATGTAATCCACCCTGTCTTGCATATTTTAAAATTAAATTGTGAGGTGATAAACATGGCTAAAGTTTTCTAAAATGATAGCTAATGATAATTATTCTGCTTTTTTCTTTTTATGTTATGTTATTATTGATGAAACTTCTCCTATTGTTTTATATTTGGAAACTCCAAAAACAATGCTTGGAGTGTTGTATTATGGTGACCTGAATAATGGAAAGGGGACAATGTTAGAACATGCGCTGCGGAAGCAAGCATACAATCAGGCATCAATTACATGTAAACTAGACAACGCAATAATAATGAGATCAGGAATACTAACCTCTTGAAATAGTTGCACAAATTCTCCAAGCAGCAAGAATCCAGGGCTGTAGTCTTCTGCTATATGCCTAGTAAAACCTTGAACACTTTTGCTTTTGGGTGGGCAAAAACAATACAACTCTGGGGTCTTTTGAATAGGAGAAACCTGTCTACCTTTTATAGATTCGAAATTAAGCCCTAAAAGAGGCTTAAAATCGTGTGGGATTAGGATTCTATAAGTAGAATCCTACTCCAACTCAAAAAGGTAACTTTTCTCCCAAGCTACTTTTTACCCAAGTCTGTCCAGGTTTTTACTAGGTATAGCAGGGACCACAGAAATAATAAGAGGCTACCAATTATAGTATTAATTCTAAATTAGCATGAATTAATTCTTACTATAATTAATTGCAATTTATTCCACTAAAAAACTGCAATTGAACTCCTCAATATGAATTTCGTAAATTTATTAACACTTATTTTAACTCCCCATGTTAAGATTTCAAATACCAGTTAATTAAATTAAATCACTGATAATTTAATTCAATTAACTAATTAAATCCTTTATAATTCCGCTTAGACCATCTCATGTGACGGATACAAAATCCACCGGCCGGGTTTTCACATGAAAACCTATAAGCTTATATAAATGGGTATTATCAAACCCAAAAACCAAGTCATGGATTCTATCAACTAATTATTATTCACAAATGTTATTCGTTATTGTCCAATTTATTAGGCATATACTAACTCTAAATAGAGTCGTACCTTTTGATAAATCAAAACAATAAACAAATTACATTGATCTTAATAATTATATCAAGATTAGGAGTATAAGCTCATTTAATGAATTAAAGAAAATATTTTATATGTATTCAGTATAAAAATACATTTTCTCTACTTGGTCCGTTCAATATACACTGAGTACACTAGCACAAGAAGTTGGAGTAAACCTACTCCCATAATCAAGACAAATTATACAATAATCTTGTGCTACAATCATCAAGATATTTTGTCCGATAATATCTTCGATTGTGAACATAGTTTATTAATTATGAGAACCAATAATTTAATCTTCTGTGTATGAGCTAAGACTCCCTAAATTGTCTACTACATAACCAAAAGGACACACATGTTACAAATGATCTATTTAAAACAGTGCTTTATTGAATTGAATAAATTAAATAAATAATTGTTTCATAAATAACAAAATATAATACTATGTCTAAACCGCATGGTTAATAGTATATCCCAACAGACAATGCCCATTAATGTTTTTATATTTGAAAACTCTTTTATTTAAAACTAGAGGTGAAGCTACAATTTTAACTTGATGATTTTAATTTTTTAGAATAATGACTTTAAGTGCTAATAATTGGATTATAACTTTAATATATGTATAATTTAATGAATTCTTTATATAAATACATATTTGAGTTCGACTGAACCAATATCTAAACTTCTACCTCTACCCATGTTTTAAAATTCTCATATTATAAACATAGAAATGTGGCATGTGCAAAATCACAGCTTAAAGATACTTTTGGTATGTGCGGATAATCTTTGTTTCTTTCTTAAATTTTATAAATACTGCTACATAATATAAAGTGGAGGAACTCAAATACACTATTTGAGTTCGACCGAACCAATATCTGAACTTCTACCACTATCCCTGGTTTAAAATTCTCATTTATCTTTAATGGAATGCCCTTATAAACATAGAAATATGGCATGTTCAAAATCACAGCTTAAAGATACTTTTGGTATGTGCCAATAATCTTTTTTTCTTTCTTGAACTTTATAAACACCCACACAAAATGTAGGAGAGAAAGTATTGAACAAATTGACATAATCACAACTTTTATACATGATGTTTTCAACTGGAATTAACACACTCGAGAAATTAAACACAGAACATGATCAACAAGTACATAATTATTACAAAGGTATTAAGGTAGAAAATCTTTCACCATTTTCTAAACGAGAACTAATCATAATCTGGACCGTTGGAATTGGAACCCACTAACCGTGAAGCCTCCATCAACGGCTATAACCTGTCCAGTGATGTAGGAAGCCGCAGGAAGGCAAAGATAAGCTACAAGAGATGAAACTTCTTTAACTTCTCCGAGACGTTTAAGAGGAGTTCTTGACATTAATCCATCTAAAAATGTTTTATCCTTGAGAAACCGTTAATATAGCAATCAAATTCATTATTTATAATTCAAAAGTATTGTAACGAGATTAAAAAAGTCCAAGTGATCATGCATTTTATTGTTTAACTTTAATACACCAAGATTTTAAAAAAGGTTGAATTAGTTACCTTCAAATAAGTCAATTAAAAACCTTATACGACATGTTAAATTGGACTGATGGTTTAAAAGTTTCATTACACTTGTCTCAGCATCAACAGAAGAAAAGGACTGACTGGCTGCCATCCACGAGAGACCCCTAAGGATCGAGCTTAGTGCTAGCTTTGCAACATGGGCCGAAGGAAAGGGGAAAACCAAACAAAAGTCGCGGTCAAAGCAAAGAAAAAGATGCCATAAAAGATTCACTTTAGCTTCTAGCTCGCTTAGTTTAGTGTAGGTTGCTTGCAAGTCTTTCGATAGCTGGTTCGGCCAAACAAAATCACCGATCTAGAAAGAAGGGTCGTTTATTACCAGTCTTGCTACAGTATCGACGCAAAAGGACCAGTCCTTCATTTGATGATCATTCGCGAGTCGAACTCGCTCTCTCGCCATGTCTTCTACTCACTCGCTTGATTCGAACTCAATCACTCTTTTAGCCAAATATGGTAAACGGTTATTAAGTTATACCCAACATTTTAAATATGTTAGGTTTGTAAATTAATGAAAATCATTTATGCTTTAGCGAATTAATGCTAACTTTGATTCCCGTAAGTATTTCAATGACTTTTTTGAAACATCATTTCATTCTCCGGACGTGGCTTAAGTTTTTTAACATTTCACGTACTTAAACAACATAACATAGGTACTCTCCTCGAATAGCTTCTAGAAATATTAACTATTGTGTTTCCTTTTAATTTGTTACATTTCGAAATGTCTCCTATCGTTTTATTGAACAAATTTAATAGAAACTGCAAAATTATGGTTGAAATGTCAGTTTTTTTCTTGTTCTGTGAACTGATCTATCTATACAAATTTCCTTGATTAATTCTTTAGTAAAATCGTTGTAATAAGACTGTCCGTTTGTAATATGTCATCACATACGAAATATCTGAATTACTATTCTCACTCTGGCTTTATTTTCCTCAAGAATTCAACATTTTCTAGCAATTGATTCTTCATTCTTTAGTAATATTAGTCATGTCTCTGGAGTATTGTGTTGGACTTTAAGCCATTGGGCTTTAAAGTAGAAGAAGTGTGAATTGGAAATGGAGGAAAATAAAATGGAGGAAAATTGAAAATTTGAAGAAGTGAACTTTTGTCTTGCACTTTGTCCCTCATTGGTGAGGGACAACCACATTTGTGTGCTTATATATAGAATCACTTCTTAAAGCTCATAAAAGGAGTTGAAGAGAATGAACCCTCGCGCCGTCGTCGTCGCTCGCTCGGCTTCGGCTTCGGCTTCGGCTTCGGCAAATGATCGATAAGATTATTTTTGGACAAAATTTATTTAATTATTTAATAATTAATTAAATGCCAAATCACTGCTGAAAATACGCCAGAACCCTGCTGCTGAAGGTTCAGAAAGCCCCTCTGACCGCGGTTCTGCCGCGACCGCGGTAGAACCGCGGCAGGCAGGTTCAGAAGGCCCCTCTGACCGCGGTTCTGCCGCGACCGCGGCAGGCAGCGTATTCTTCTGAAAAGGCACCTTTTCCAGACACCTCTTCTGATAATTGCCTATAAATTCTGAGGCAAGGCTCCATTTTCAAAACACGAAAAACACTCCAGAACTTCTTTCTTTCTGAATATACTGCATCCTAATTCGCAGTCTCTCTCTCTCAAATTTGTAAGTGTGATTTTGCTCCGTTCTTTGAGTTCGTTGGTATCCTGCAGTTTGTATTGCCACTGTTGCAGGAAGGTTT